TGTCGACTCATGCCTTGTTTTGTGACTAAAATGAGTCGACTCATGTGAGTATGTATTGACTCATGTTGCAGTTTTTTGCCTCTAACATTATTCTATTGTGTATACAGGTCAGTTCACAGCATATGATTGATAAAAATAAACAACAAGCAAATGGTTAGCTTAAAGGGGGCAATGATTACTACATTTTATCTTCAAAAATGAATCATTAGTGATGTATGAAAAAAATGCAAAGTCAAGAAGACTTACCTTGAGACTGCACTTTGTGTCTTGAGTCTGAATACTTTTCAAGATGCTGTGATGGCTTCAGTGAGTCTCCAGGAAGCTGTTCCAAGCTGTTGAATCAAACTAACTCAGTCAAGTTATACTGTACTATTTTTTGTGTTTGGAAGGTGAAGATAATGGCACTACAGAAACTGTTCTTGTGTTTGAACAATCTCTATGTGATGTAAAGTGTTTGGCTGGTTGGTTTATGGGAGGGTTTGCAAGATGGAATAATGGGTTGAGGTTCTGTTTTGGTGAATGAAAACAGAGATGAGTATGAGCAAGGGTCTTTTGTGAATGAGTAGAGTTTACAAAGAATGCTGTTTTTTCTCTTCTCTCATTTTTTCTCTAATGGGATGTGCCGACTCATTTCCTGCTTGTGTCGACACATTCGTGTTTTGTGTCGACTCATGCACCTTTTGTCTTTCTGTTTTGGGTTCTGGATAGCAGTATGTGTCGACACATAAGGCCTTGTGTCGACTCATACCTTGTTCTGTCACTAAAATGAGTCGACTCATGTGAGTATTTATTGACTCATGTTGCAGTTTTTCGCCTCTAACATTATTCCATTGTGTATATAGGTCAGTTCACAACATATGATTGATAAAACTAAACAGCAAGCAAATGGTTAGCTTAAAGGGGGCAATGATTACTACATTTTATCTTCAAAAATGAATCATTAGTGATGTATGAAAAAAATGCGAAGTCAAGAAGACTTACCTTGAGACTGCACTTTGTGTCTTGAGTTTGAATACTTTTCAAGATGCTGTGATGGCTTCAGTGAGTCTCCAGGAAGTTGTTCCAAGTTGTTGAATCAAACTAACTCAGTCAAGTTATACTATACTATTTTTTGTGTTTGGAAGGTGAAGATAATGGCACTACATAAACTGTTCTTGTGTTTGAACAATCTCTATGTGATGTAAAGTGTTTGGCTAGTTGGTTTATGGGAGGGTTTGCAAGATGGAATAATGGGTTGAGGTTCTATTTTGGTGAATGAAAACAAAGATGAGTATGAGCAAGGGTCTTTTGTGAATGAGTAGAGTTTACAAAGAATGCTGTTTTTTCTCTTCTCTCATTTTTTCTCTAAAAGCCCCCCCCCCCCCCCCCCCCCCCTCTTTTGTGTTATCAAGACAGTTTTTGTAGATGAAATTTGACTGAGATTTAGGAGGGAAACAAATAAGTTTTTGAACTGTTTGGTTATAATGTTCCATTGCTTTTTGATGCAACTCTTATGTGCTAATTTTGTGCAAATATGGGACTGAGATAATGCAGGCTTGGACTGGGTTAGTGGTAGCATAGCAGGACTATTTTGCAGCAGTTTTGGAGTGTTGTGGTAGCTTGGTACAAGGCTGTTTTATAGCAGTACAACAGACTATTTTTGACATGGTTTTGGGCTTTCTTGGACAACAACATTTGTAGCATGATACAAGTCTATTTTATGGACAACATAGTGGCAAAGTTTGGACATTGAGTCAAAGGGAAAAAATTCAAACAAGACAAAGCTTAGGATTTGTAATCTTGCAAAAATGTAACCTTCTAATAACTTGAATTATTTGTAACACCTTGAATTATTTGTAACATCTTGAATTATTTTGAATTGTGGTGAAAAGATGTCATGGAGCAATGAAATTAACAAGTATAATAAATACTTAGAAAAATTTCCAAGTCTTGCAAAGTTGGATTTTTGACTCTCTTGATTTTTTATGATCAAATTTTGATCAAAAGTCAAACTTTGCACTTTTTAGCATATAATTGACTTTTTTCCAATACAACTGATTTTAGGCCATCTGATCAATTGACTGAGTGATTTTGTGATCCAAGACTTGAAACTTGACAAGAGCAATCCTGAGGGTCCATAATAGTCCATGAAAGTCATTTGAAATATTAGGAGTTCAAATGTCCATGTGCGAACTCAAACCCTAATTTGAGACATCAGTACTGAGGAGATGGCTTGACCTAGTCGATACTTGCGCAAACTTGAGTTATTGAATATCTTTGTAGGAAATATCTTGAGAAAAAGAGAGGGAAAATTTTGGGGTACAACACCTTGACAAATATTTGATAACAGTTAGCCAGATCTAAAAATCCTCTCAATTATTTGATGTTATTAGGAAGAGGTCAAGAATTCACAACATGAATCTTATAAGGATTAATGAAGACACCATCTTTGGTAATCAAATGACCAATATACTCCATTATAAGGAGGGAAATGGCACACTTAGGCTGGTTTAAAAACAAGTGATTGTCCCTAATTGTGTGGAAAATCAATTGTATATGCACAATATGGTCCTCTAAGGATTGACTATAAATCAGCAAATAATCAAATGAGACAATAAATTTTTTTCAAAGAAAGGGCTTAAAGACCTGGTTTAGGGGAATTTGTAAACCTAAAAGCCATGACCAAATACTCGAAGTGTCCATTGTGTGTCTTGAAAAATGTCTTGTCTTCTCCTTCAGCCATGCGTAATTGATGGTACCCAGAATACATGTCAAGTTTAGAGAAAATAGTGGAGCCATGGAGCTCATCCATTAAATTTTCAATCAAGGTAATTGGAAAACGATCTTTGATTGTTACTTCATGGAGTCGTCGAAAATCCACTCAAAGACGCTAAGATCCATCCTTATTATGCACTAAGATAGTGAGAGATGCAAATGGACTATTGTTATGTTGTGTTATGCCTCGAGTTAACATTTCATTGACGATTTTATCGATGACATCCTTCTGTACTAAGAAAAAACAATAAGGTTTCATATTAAAAGGTTGAGTACCCTCCTTGATAGGGGTTTTGTGATCAAAGCTAGGACGAGCAGGTGGTAAGTTAGTAGGTTCAACAAAAATATCTTCAAAATTTACTAGCAAATGAGCAATGGGGGAAGGTATGATGTACTCCTGGTCAGCACGAGTCATAGCATGACAAGTAGGAAGAATAAGGGAATAATCTTCCATAGATACAGACAAAAAACACATTTCAACAGCCTTGTTAAGTACATGTGCAAAATATTTGTTATTAATGAGTTTAATACTAGGAGTCTTAACACCTCTTAGTACAAAATTACGACCATAAATATCTCCAAAATGGACGGTGACATTAGTGACGTATTGTTGTCAAAGAGGGTAGATGTCAAACTTTTGGCGCATATAATTAAGATGTCATTGCAAAGCGAGACCTCACATAACAGACACAATAAGAATAACAGAAAAATAAATAAATCGACAAACTACTTAAAATCCTATGACATTCAATTGGTGATGTTAGGAGAAATACTGTTTGAATCCAAACCTTCAAAAATATTGTGAAATGCAAACAAACTACTATGTGGGTTTATCGATGCCATAGTTTTTCATGTACCTCTAGAGAGAATGAAGAACCTAATGATTTAGCTCAACAAATCTATGGTTACTAGTAAACATCAATCAAACTCCAAAAGAAAGACTATCTGATGGAAAAAATGGTACATGTGATTGTTATATCGATTAAATCAATGTTTTAAAAATTGGACTGGTCATGGTACTGAATCACTGGTTTATTGGTCGAACCACTGGGTCATCAGTCGAACCGCATGACCAAACCGAATTAAATCGGATAACTCAGTTGAATAGATTAGTCTTTATAATAAAACTATATAAGTATAAAAATAGTTGAATCAGATGATTCAGTCTCTACAAAATATAACTAACACTTAAATTTTAAAAAAAATCATATCATAAATTCACAAGTTCTTAATCTAAATTCAAATTTTAAACAAAAGTATCACACATAACAAAATAGTACAAAATTACAAAATTTAATTGCAATCAAAGTCTAATTGCAACATAATTTAATTAAATAATTTTTAACAAAATAACTCAAATGAGTACCAAATTTAGTTCAAATGAGAGAATATTGTTTCAATATTGAAATCTCCTTCATCAATATTAAAATCAATCTCCTTCATCAATATTAAAATCATCTGCAGTAAAATTAAGCGCATTCGCAACCATTTTTCCGTCAATATTATCATTATTTTGTTTTATTTTTTATTTTTATTTTTATTTTTTATTTCATTTCTTTCATTTTTTATTTTTATTTTTTAATTAAAATAATTAAAACAACATCATTTTAAATTTAAAAAAAATGCAATTAAACTACCAATTTAGAAAAACCGCCGGTTTTCCCAGTTCATATCAGTTTTTACCGGTTTACATCGGTTTAATAATATAAGTGATCTAACAATTGAATCAGACCGATTACCTAGCCGGTTCCCAGTTAGACCGGTCTGATTGGCCAGTCCGATTTTTAAAACACTTAAATAACTAATTGGTTACCTACAAAAATCCATATTCTCTTGTGGAGTCAAACAAAATCCGTTGGTTCTTATTAGCCACCCATGACTCCACCCTGGTTCTAATACGCAGTTAATTGTGAACAACGGGTGAGACAAAAGCCTTTGGTTCTTCCACCAAGAGGAAACTTGTGAAACAAGTAACCAATGGTAGAAGACAGAAGAAGACATTCAACTGAGTTGATACTCTATGTATGACCCTTGGAAGATCAAGAAAGTGTAAGAGAGTGAGTGATGTTGGCCATTTGAGGAGTTGTAACATGAGTTTCATAATGTTGAAAAAAAATTAATCTAGTCGTAAACACAAACATATGCTTTTCAAGAGAATAGTAATGCTTGGCTTAATGGAGCATTATGCACAATTCATGTTGTGTTCTTAAATGATACAAAATTAAAAACAATAGATACTGCACCCTTCAGTTGATATTAAACATTTGATTGTTTATGCTTATCCTGCTTCTTTCACTACTCTCATTTTCTCCTTCATTTCTACAAGCTTTTCTTCTATTCATTTCAGCATACATTTCCTCAATCAAAGGTTTCCATAGCCGAACACGCGCATTTATAAACCAGTTAGATACCTAGTCAATCAACAACAAAGAATAACAATATGTTTCATACAACAAAGATTTTATACGATATTAGTATTCAATACCTGACTTCTCGTCAATCCACTTTTTATCGCAAGTAAATGCTTCTCTGCATCTTTAGGATACCTGAAACTCATCGCATCATAGTTAAAAACTTGTGCATGCAGAGGTCTCGAAAACGTAAAACTTTGATTAATTGTTCGATTGATTATAGATACTTACGGATGGAGGAAATTCTGAAACATCCAATCGCGTAGAACGGAAACTGATCTTTCTGGCAAGCCCCTTTGAGGTCTCCATAACTGATCCTTCCTTTTCAGCTGTTGTAGAGCCCATTGCTTCTGAATGAATGAAGTTTCCAAAGACAATTCCTTATCCTCTTCCGAACGCGAGCTATTGAAATTCGATCCCATGGCAAGAATTTGATTGCTTATCCGCTCTCTCAAATCCTTATAGAGTCGAGAAACCGTTTTGACAGCAAAATGTGCATGGATATGTGGATCCAGCTCAGTAGCAGCATGAAATGCAGATACAACAGTGTGAACCTCATCTAAACATTGACTATATTGATTATCCACCTAAGTACAAACAAGACTACTATCAGCATTTTAGACTCAAAAACTACAAATCTTAGCTTCGCTTCAAGCAGAATCATTTCTACTCGAGAGCAATCAATTATGTCAAAGTCAATTCCACACATTTAGAATCAATTCTACTTGAGAACATGCATACATATAATGTAATGTTAAGAAGTAGCAATGTACCAGCTGTAGAAGCATCAGAAGTTGTGATTTCTTTGATTCAGCAGCCTGTCTTTGAAGCGAAGAATCAGCATACGCTTCCGACTTAGAATTCGCATCTCGGTTTATTCCTATCCTTCTTTTTGTCGTGTTCGACGAACTTGATTTATTTCCTTGTCCTCTAACACCAGAACCTGAGTAACTTATCTCATCTAGATTCTCAAAAGAATAAGTTGCAATTTGAACAAGTATCTCCTGAATTACAGCAAGGTATCTCGATCCTAATAACGCCGGCGAGAATTTAACATGTTTATCGTTACCTAAACTCATAGAAAGCTCCATACTACTACAAGAAGCTTGTTCCAACCCTGATCTAGTTCCATTCATGCTATGAGTCAAGTCAGAGCAACTAATCTCCGAACACTGACCTGAATTCGGAGATGTTGCAAGACTTAGTGAAAGTTCATTGCTACAATTAGATGAACTATAAGCAAGATTTGATGGTTGCCATCCATTTGGATCAATGTTCGGTATTGTCGAATATGACATGAATTCAGTTCCATCATTACCCTCTTGAGGTTTCATATACTTGTTAACATAGCTATTATTTTGACCAAAAGGGTTTGAACTTGAAGTATCTTGCCAATTATTGAACATGTAAGGTACCATAGCTTCTAAATTATCATGAAAATCATTGTTAACAATGAGATTCGAGGGATTTGAGGGATTTTCCACAATAGTCCTTCCTTGGTGTGATGAAACAAATGAAGTAGAATCAGCAATAGTTTGATGATTCATGAAGCTGCTAGTGCTACCACCATCAATAGCATGGCCATTACTACTTACATGTTGATGTTCTTGATTTTGTTCTCCAGAAAGTATTGGAATTCCATTGATAATGTTTTGGTTGTTAAGATCAAATGAATAGCAATGATGAATGAGTGGCTTTTGAGTTAGATGATGTGTGATATCTTCTATGACAGATGAAATTTGACCAGTCATGTTCATTTGAGCATTGTACACATCATTCTCCATAGATGAAACAATTTAGAATATGCTACAAAAGAAAAGAAAACAAGCTTAGAAAAGTGACTTTTGAGTACTTATTTGATAACAAGAACACTTTCAAAAGAAGAATGAACCAACCTTTTCTTAATAAAGCATAGGAATAAGAAGCTATCAATGAGTTACCACCCTCCAAAATCTATCAAATAAACTTCACATAAATCTTCAAAAACCTTCAAAAACTTTCAAATTCAAAACATTAGACAACTTTGCAAGATTTGTAGTTGCCTTGTCCTTTGAGAACCTAGAAAACCACAAAGCAACAAGAGAAACAAAAACATAAGCATTGTGATCATAGTACTACAATGTAAAGAACAAGGTTATCATTTTGTGGTTCTAAAACAATAATAAGAATCAAAACTATGTTGAGTAAAAAGGGTAACATGCATTGGTTTCATCTTGCATGAACATCATCAATATTTTATTCAAGTAACCCAAACCCCAAAAGCACATTTTTCATTTCACAGATCCCATCAAAATTTATTGCAAAACACACAAAAAAGCTCAAAACTTTACACTATCTCTCTCCTACATCCTATAAAAAAATCACCTCAAGAAAAACAAAAGCATTCAAGAGAGAGAGAGAAGTTATGCACCTATCTATAATCTATGTATGCATATAGATGGAGATGAATGAGAGTGAAGAAGATAGAAAAACCAGAAAGAAGTAAAAGAAGGAAAGAGAGAACACAGTGTATAGTGTTATGTGCAGTGGCACTCATGTCTGTTTCAGGCTTTAGAGGGCCCATCTTTTCACTCTCTCTCTCTCTCTCTCTCTGATAATTTATCTGAATCACTGCAAAAAACACTCTCTCTCTCTCTCTTCTGATATAGGCTATAGCATTAGCAGCAGAGGTTGAGATACAGAAAGAAACATTTAAGCTTTTTTAGCTAAATATAAAACAAGTTGGTAAGTTGAAAAGAAACAAGAGTTACATAAAGGGGGTAAAAGAGAAAAGATTGGCGTGTGATGTGAAGAAGAAATATTAGACTTACATGCACTGTTGTTGTGTTGTGTTGTGTTGTGTCATTGTATAGATAGATACATAGGGTTCTATAGGTGTGTACTTTTTGTGAGATTAAAGTGTGTGATGTAAGGGATATATAAAATGACGCAATTTTGTGTATGATAAGTCATATCTCCATACTTCTGCAATTTAATGCACCAAATCATGTGTTCAGTATTTATTCGGCGGGAACATTACACTTTCACTTTTTAATATTCATCATTATTTCACACTTGAATATTCTATTATCAATATTTTTTTTTTTTTGTTTTTTTTTTTTTAAGTTTGTATTAGATTTAAATTTTGTTTCTTGTTTAAACAAGTTTTTAAATTCTCAATTAAATCGAAACGAAGGTTATGGTCAATAATCTACAAAACTCATGATTTTCGGTGGATTCAAGCAAAAATCACTCAATTAGGTTACATTGAATGGTGAGATTTATAAGAGGAGTATCATTGATGTTATCCTAAAATGCATATGTAAGAAGGAAACTTCCAAACACATGGGAAAATTTAATTGGAGATTCTTTGGAACCCATTGGGCATTAGAAATAATAAAATAAAATAATCCTGAAAAACTTTCAAACACATATTACAAATATTTCAAATAATAAATTACAAATTAAAATGTTAATATGTTAATCAAACAATTAATATTTTAAATTATAAAAAATATTTTAAATTATCAACGGAAGAAGTTTGAAGACAGTTTCAAGGTGAGTGTTAGTGTCTCTATTATCCATTTTATTTTCATCTTTTAAAATTAGAAAAAATTCAAACTCAAACTTAGTTAAAATGGATTTTCTCCTTCAAACATAAACATGTTTGTGTGAGAACCTATAAATATGAGTTCTGTTACCATGTCTACTTGTAATACGTAGATAATTGAGTATATCCAAAAGATATCATTCGAGTACACGCTTTATACCACTTTATTTTTTATACCTTTCATTAAAATAGTCTAACGTGTGTGTCTAGAAGATATCATTTGGCCACACCATTTATAATTTTTTTTTAAATAATCATATTTTCAAAAAATTTACTACACTAACCATTTTTCAAACAAAAAAAATTTTATCACACAGAAGAATAGTCACTTTGTATGACGCATGCATGCTATTTAGAGAGGAGGCGCCACACTGCATGACTTGTCCTTCTCTGTAAAGCCATACAGTATGGCGCATATATGTAATGTTAGAGAGGAGGCGTCATCTACCGTGACTTGACAGTTGTATTTATTACATGCATGCGCCACAGTAGATGGCGTCTCCTCTCTAACATTACATGCATGCGCCACACTGAATGACTTTACAAAAGAAGATAAACTATGGAGTGTGACGCCTCATCTCTAACTCCTCTTTTGTGTGACAAATTTTTTTTGTTTGAAAAGTGATTAGTTTGATAAATTTTTTAAAAATGTGATTATTTGAGAAAAAATTTAAAAAATATAATTATTTGAAAAAAAATTCCACCATTTATTCCACTTTATTCTTTATTATGCCTTACATGAGAATAGACCCAAGAATGTGTGAGAAAGATATCATACAGACACACACACTCTTTATACCATGTTATTGTTTATGCCTCACATGAGAATGGTTCTAGGGGTGCGTCCAAAAGATATCATATGAGAACACCTTTTATATCACTTTATTTGTCATGTTGCACATAGAAATAGTCTTAGGGGTGTGTCTCAAAGATATCATCTAGACACACTTTGTATACCACTTTATTTGTTATGCCTCACATAGTCTCAAGGGTGTATCACAGAAATATATATATATATATATATATATATATATATATATATATATATATATATATATATATATATATATATATATATATATATATATATATATATATATATATATTTGTCTCAAATTATATATATATTTTTAAAATATCAATATGATATTTATTATTTCTTTCATATTATCTTAGTCTTATTTATTATATTTTAATTCATATAACTATTCAAGTATTTATTATTAATAAGACTATTTTAATAAATAAAATTTATTTTATCATAAAAATTAACATAATTAATTATTATTTTAAAAATTATGAAAATTTAAAAAAAAAAACATCTATTATGATTTTCAACAACCAATCAAATTTAAAATTGTGTATAATACAAAAATAACTCATTTTTATAAATGAAATATTTAAAGCACACAAAGAACAATATAAACTAAAACACATCAAAATCGATGAAATCATCTAGTTCTATTTGGCATCCCACATTATAATTTTTATATCCGATCCTCTTCAATATCATTCCATGTGTCAAACTCATTCATCTTAACCAAAAAAAAGAAACTGTCAAATAACTATTTCTTCTTTGACATAGCCTCTCCATTCTATAAATGTTCGTGATAAAGGATACCTTCAATTCAAGTAAATGTACAAAATGTCGCATACATGAAAGTCATTCAATACACATAACCAAACCATAAATATTTTTTGGACGGTGACTTCGTGTAGGAAAAAGGTTATGAAAAACCATACCTTGGAAACTCAACAAGAAAATTTATCATATGCACTTTCTACTGCATTTTGAATCATTTCAAGAAAACTCATCCACTTTTAATTCAGTGTTGAAACACAAATTTTATCAAAAATCAGAGTTTATTGAATATCATGGTTTTTTTTTTATTCTCGTGTAACCTCATTTGATATTCTTCATGAGAAACTATTTCCTTGATAAGATTATGACACAAGTGGATGATTCTCCCCCTTACCAATTAAGATTAAAACTGTTGGAATAATATAACAAGTGTGAGTAAGTGGAGAAATAGTCTTACATTGGATAAGAATGTGGATATACTTAAACATATATATAAGTGAGAGAACTCACTCACCTATCACCTTAAGGTTTTAGGTGGATAAGTGGTGTGTCTCTCACAAAGGTGCATATTCCTACACTATGTATCGATGCTCCTAGTAACTCCCCCAACATGGTATCAGAGCCTTTGGTTCGAAAAAGGGACCGGAAGAGACTTGTATCGAAATACGCTTAGGAAGTGGTGCCTCGTTGCAAGATGTCAATGACGATACAAGTGGAGGAGCATTGTGGACTCACACTTGAGAGGGAGTGTTGGAATAATATAACAAGTGTGATTAAGTGGGGAAATAGTCCCACATTGGATAAGAATATGAATACTTAAGCATATATAAATGAGAGAACTCACTCACCTATCACCTTAAGATTTTAGGTGGATAAGTGGTGTGTCTCTCACAAAAGTGCATATTCCTATACTATGTATCGATGCTCCTGGTAACTCTCCCCCAACAAAAACAACATGAATTGTGCATAAAAACCTTCTTTGGAGTACCATCCGTTTTTTCCATTTTCGCATGTGGTTTCATATCAATGGTTTTTGGATAAACTATCTTACACATGTGAAGAAAAGAAACAAGATAATTAATTTTTTGTAGAATTCCTCTTTGCCCATAAACTGTGAAAAACTTTATTATTCACTTTGCAACTGCAAAATTATGTAAATACAATGAATTGACTTGATTACAAAAATAGGGGTTACTCCATCTATTTATAGATTTAAGTTAGCTTGCTCTCTAAGCCAAAAGCTTAAAAACTATAAAAGCCCAAAATACTTATTTTAGAACTAAATCAAATCTATTATATTTTATATCTAAATCAAATCTATCTAAATCTAAAACAAATCAAACATGTGTGCAGCCTGCTTCGATACACAAGCTCTGTAATTGGGCAATGGTTTCCATCGAGCAACCTGCTTCGACAACCTCTAACCATTCGACACACACATAGTTTCGACACTATGAATTACAATTTAACACACCACCTAATTCATTGTGTCTAAACTATCTACATTCATCATAGCTCTTAGTCTTCGAAATATTTCAACCTGCATACCCTTCGTCATGATGTCTGCAATTTGATTCTCAATTTTGTAGTGTTCCAAGTTCATCTTCTCATTT